TGAAATCATGTGAAAGAAAGCAGGACCCATGGTCGACTCCAATTTTTCTTGGGAATCCGTGAAGATCACAGTAATCGTTTAGGAATGAAATTACGTTTCTTGTAGAGGTGTTATTGACAATCTTGGCCGAAGGAAACTTAGTGTAGCGGTCGATACAAAGAAGAATGTATTTGTTGTTACCCCAGCTAGCATCCAACGGTCCCGCAAAATCCAAATTAATTTCTTCGTTCGCGAATGTCAACGTCGGAAGTTTCGAAATATTATGAGTGCCTAGTATCACTTTAATGTTCTTACCCGCTTTTAAACATTGGGTACATGTTCTCCCGTGATGATAAATTTCCCGGTAAATATGCGGCCACCACAAATATTCGGCGAGGGATTTCATCCCGAACTGTCCTGGGTGAGTCTCGTGTAACATTGAATTAAAAGTTCCCCTGATGGTAGCTGGGACGACTAGTTTGTTGTCTAAAAAGAGTAGCTCGTCCTTCACGTGTAAATCCCGAGTTCTTCGTGTAAGTCCCGTGTATGCCCATCGGTCGATTCCTCTTTATCGTCTCTATCAGACCCCACAGCACCTTGTCTTCTCTAGTCATGATCTACAGCAATTTCTTCGAACAATGGTTTTCTGGGCGAATTGGGGAATTCGGTAAATTCAGATCAGCCTTATATCTTCTTAAGAGATCTGCGTGGTCGGGTGGAAGTCTGTCGTCTCTGAATTTGAGAGCAATATTATGTTCTTCGGGGATGATAAAAAGGGGTTCGTTCACTTTGTCCATTGGGAGTTCTTGTTTTTTCTTGTCTGTTTAGTAGTAAGAAATGTAAAAGGACTTTGTCCGAAAAGGTAATACTTTTAAAATTAAATTTAGAATTATCGACTGGTTGGCAAATTGTAGTACAATTTTCTGTCCGAGAATGATTATTGTGGCAAATTTTTATCGACTGAGCGATACAAGATATGATAGCAGCAATAATCTTGAGATTGAGTAAAGCTAAAGAGCTATTCAACTGATTTTGACCAATCACGTCGCTTGAATTTTTGTTTCCCGATGGGATTGTATTAATTCGTGAATTAGTATTTACAGCGACCGCTGGTCTATCTAAAGAATTTACAGTAAATAATTTTGAATCTTTATTAGTCGATAAAATGTTCTGAATTCTGTCGATTGAAGCGACTACAAATTCGTCGTCATAATGTGAAATTGGAAGGGCTTTGCCCGAAGGAAGTCTAGATAAAAGGTCCGTACAGCCCATGTCCTTTCCTGGTAAATGTGAAATTTTAAAATTGAAAGGTAAGAGTCTGTTTACCCAGCGGGTCAATCGGCTGTGCATCGTTTTATTGCCATGATTTGCTGAAAGTGCTGATAGTAACGCTTTGTGGTCAGTTACTATTTGGAATTCTGTTCCGTACAGGTAGTTTCTGAAATGTTCTGCAGCCCATACGACTCTCAGCAACTCTAATTCGTTGGTAGAATAATTCATTTCATGGTTGTTTAAAAATCTGGATGCAAACACGATTGTTTTCCACTGGTCGTCCTGTAATTGTTCTAGGGTAGCCCCTAGTCCGCTATGTGAAGCGTCTGTTTTTAGTCTTGTCTTCTCTTTTATATCAAAATGGCTGTTTTCTGCAATATTTACAATTTCCGTTTTTAACTTCTCAAACGCTATTGAATGGCTGGTATCCCATTTGTATAGCAATTTTTGGTTTAGAAGAGGTCGAAGAGGAGAGCTTAGCGTGGATAAATTAGGGACGAATTTTGCATATTTGTTTATTGAGCCGAAAAATGAGCGAAGTTCAGAAATATTCTTCGGGGTTGGCAAATTTTTTATAGCGTCGGCTTTACCGACCAACGGTCGTACTCCATTGCCTGAGATCTTGAAGCCAAGCCATTCGATGTCAGATTTAAAAAATGCGCATTTCCCCCATTTTACTGCCATGTTGTTCTTATCTAAGATTGATAAAATTTTGTACACTATTGATTTGTGTTCTTCCAGCGATCCACGCGAGGCTACCAGTATGTCGTCTATGTAACAATTTGTAAACGGGATATTTTTCAACATTGAGTCCATGACCCGTTGGAATTCATTGGGCATGTCTCCTAATCCGTAAAATCCCGTTAGAAACCGATACGTTCCTGTCGTTTCGCCGCCTACTATGCTAAAATTGCACTGTTTACTTGTTTGATTGCAAAGTTGAAGTTGGCTATAGGCGTTTTTCAGATCTAAGTTACTAAACCACACGCCCGTTGGTTTTTCTGAAATTTGGAGTGCCACGTTATCAATCAGTTCATGGATATTCGGCATTTGATACTTATTTTTTAAAAATTGATCATTTAAAAGCTTGGAATCCAGTGCCAGTTTTATTGAAGTATCCTTTTTCCGAGTGATTACAATTGGACTGATGAAGCAATCTTTGTCGCATTTCTCTAATTTTTTTATGTGACCTTCTTTTTCCATTCTTTTTAACTCTTCGTTCACTGCCGCGAGTAAATGGAGTGGTACTCTTCTCCCTTTGGACTGTATTGGTTTAAAAGGTGTGTGAAAATGGGTTACCTTCCGATCGTTAGGTATTTTCCCCACTCTAGTGAATAAGTTCTTAAACTCATTAAAAATGTTGTCTGATAAAGAAGGTAAGTTTTTGTACTCACTCTCGAGTGTGGGTTGATTGACCATGCAGATTGGTTGGTTGCATTTCCTCTGCGATATTTCTATGCCCAGTTTGGGTAAATTGTCGTTCCCCAATATGTTACGCTCGTGTCCGCCGGTTATGAAGAATTGGGTTTCTTCGCTGATCCACCCATTGGACTGTGTTCTGACAATTATTTTTCCCAAAGTATTGATCGTATCATTGGTGAATCCGCAGTATAGGTCTTTTATTCTTTTCTCCACTGGGTGTATCTTGAGATTTGGGTATCTTAGTTTAATTTCATGTAGAACATTTTGTTTTAAAAAGCTTACAGGGCTTGCTGAATCTACCGGTATGTTCATATTTACAATCATGTCCCAGCCGATGCCTAGGTTCAGGAGTTTCTTTGTTTCGAGACCATTATTGTCGTAAATAGTTCTGACACTCAACACCGAGAAGTCGTCATCGTCACTCTGTCCGTACTCATTCCACGCATTTATCACGTCGCACGATTCTTTTTCTTCCATCCACGAGTTTTCCAGAGGTGTGTATGTACAATTCTCAGTATTTACGAAATTATTTGATACGTTATTTACAGTTGGTTTCTTATTGCGTGATTTACATAATTTGGCGAAGTGTCCCTTATAATTGCAGTTTTTACAGATTATGTCCTTCGCTGGGCAAACGTTTAAGTGCTCTTTCGTAAATGGATTTCCGCATTTCATGCACGAGTTACTCCTTTCGATGTTTAAGCTTGGTTCCTTTTTGATATGATTGTGGTTACTAAAAGATTTAAAAGTTGTCCCGTTGATCGATGACCGTGACATATTTGTCAGTTTCTGGTGGTTAAAATATCCCTTTTCATCGATTAGGGCTTGGTTAAGTGCTTCCGACGGGCTTATGGTAGCTGAAAGTAGCTTCCTCTGGATGTCTGTGTTCTTCATATTGCAAACGAAGATATCCCTTATTCATTCTGCCTCGTCGGATTCCTTGATGTTGCACGTGCTGGCTAGGTCCGTCAGTGCTCCCCAGAATTGTTCGTACGACTCACGATCTTTTTGCTTTCGATTTAGTAGTTTACATCTTTCGAACGTAATATTGGGCGGTTTGTTAAATGCTGCGTCTAACAGAGTCCAGAACTCAGAGAACGATATTGCTAGAATCTTGACTCTCGGGTTCTTTTGTGTAAAAAGTCTTTTTCCTTCGCTCCCTAGGGCTAAAAATAAAATTGATCGCAGTTTCTTGTCCGCCTCCGTTCGTCTCAATCCATTAAATTTTCTTTTCTCTTCGTTGATCCGTTTCTCTTCTGCGGATTCGTATTGTTTCATTGTGCTTTTGTTCCTGCTCTCTCTGTTGGCTTTTTCCGCGTCCGACTCGCTGCCTGTCGCCTGTTCCAAAATTGGAATTTGCGTCTCCGGTATCTCTGGTCCATGTAGGCTCTCTAAATCCAGATTTTCTTTCGCAATGATCGCCAATTGGAATTGGTCGCTCCATTGGGTCCAGGCATGCGGTGGCTCTCGAGTGTGATTAGGCCAAAAGGGGGGAATTCCACGCACGTTCGAATCATTTGACTGCGCCATAATAAATTATTCTAATTCTATATGTCTATACATACACGGTATGTACATAAGCTTAAATGTTAAAACGTTAAAAGGAAGTAGTTGAATTAAGAACGTTAAAAAGACAACTGAACTTCCGTTCATATCGACCGATGGTCGTAACTAAACTGGTATTAATTAAAATACCGAAGGTCATTATAACATACTAAAAACAAATCACAACAGCGTTTCATATCCCACTCTGAAGTTACTGTCATTTTTAATCAAAGCATACGCGGATCTGGTTTTATTTATTGGGGGATGAACTTTTTTTTTTAATTTGGCCGACATTTTTTTTAGATTGATAAAATTGTGATTTTACAAGCTCTCCCAAAACAGAGCTTTTTCTGATGGGTTTTGAGTTTGTTCGGCGCGCGCTTTCTCTCAAGTTTGGTCCATATTGCAGGCAAAGTAATTTTATGTTAAAACAGATGTCTTATAGTGGTATAAAAATGTGTCATTTTTTCGAAATCTTGCAAGATTTGAAGAAATTTTCAAAAATAGGATTTTCTCTATTGTTTTCTATATTCTTCATGCGAAGGCGAAGATACGCTAAGGCAATAATCTTTTTCCTCATTATACCATCGGATTGTATAACTTAAAAGTGAAATTAACAAATCACTAAGTAGTTATCACATAAAAGTGTGACCTCAGATTGACGGCGTGTTTGGCGTCCTTGTCCAGCACGTATTGTTCCACAGCCTCCATGTTGGTGATTTCTGCAGTACCACTTCTGCTTCCACATTGCATCTGAGTCTGTCTGGCCTCCTCCAGCGCCTAAAGGTCAAGTTCAAGTTCAATTTCAAGTTCAAGGTCTCAGTCCTTGTTAATTCCTGCATTTCAACTCTCATAAGCCAAAATCACAAATTGTCAAGTTTAGGTTCATGCTCGGTTTTTTTAAATGTCAACTTGGTGGCAATATCCTTTTCGGTGATCAATTTTGTACAAAGTTATTTCCCATAAATTGATGATTTAGACGTCCTAAAAACAATTTTCTACTCATTTTCAGTACATGCTGTCTGGTGCCATAGAATAGGAATAAAATGCCCTTAAGCACATGTACGGTGAAAACTTGATCACCGTACCAAAACGTCTGGTTTGGGAGTGCTAGTTCATCTGAATTTTATAATATCATAACGAAAAAAAAAATTTCTATGGAAAATTTTCAATGGACTCAAGTAAAGGATACTTAAAGGATACTTGTAATAACATGATATATCATAACGGAAAAGAAGTTTAAAAAGTTTCATGGACTCAAGGAAAACCAAAAAGGACACTTGTAAAAATAGTTGAGCATAATTCAACTTTCAACATTTGGAGAAAATACTATATGACGTAGAAGCTCATGGAGTTTCACAGACCATTTATGATTGACTTTTAAAAAACATTTCAACTGGATATCAATAGTTTTTTATTTTGTTGATAGTTTTGAAATTCGAAAACCACTTTCGAAAGTAAGAAACCTTCAACAAAGTTGCAACTTTTGTACTTTCACAATTGGGAGTATTAGTACCTTTTGTAAAAAAGAGTATTTGCACTTTTTTTTCATTTTATTTACCAAGTCATTTATCAATTCTCGGACCTTGTTATGGGCACTATTTGGTTAGGTAACTTTCATTGCTTTTCCATTAAATAAAACTGAGTAAGAATTTAGAAGGTTGAGGCGAGGACTCGTCAGCAAGACAGCATTTTCCATTTTCCCGTAAACTTACAAAATCGGTTCGATGAGTTTGGCCTGTTTGCCAGTCCAGAGAAACTAACCTTTTTTGAAAATGCCTGGCAGATATCAGTGGGGAAAGTGGTGTGCACAGAAATTTTTCTGGGGGAGGTGGTTCTTCGAAAATTTTGAAAATGAATGCTTTGTCGACGTTTTTGTTTTTAGGTCGACCAATTTGATTTCGCGAGCTCTCCGAAAACACTATAAGTACCCTATTTTATAAAAAAAAATTCTGTGCCGCAGCAAAAAGCAAAACGGCGTTTTACGCACTTTTTGGAAAATTTTGAATAAAAAAATTGCGTTTTTTCGGCGCGCTGCCCCTCCCCCCCCCCCCCCAAAAAAAAAATAGTTTTTAAAGCGCTTTTCGAAAACTTTAGGTTGGTCAGCTACAAATGGATGTCGTAAAGTTCTACCAAAGGGGGGACACTACCCTCACACAGTATTGAGTGGGGAGGAGCGGGTCCACCCACATTTAGAGCACTCGGTTCAGCTACCAATGTAGCTTGGCGTAAAAAACCGCACTCTTTTATTTCTACTTAGTACCATTTGTCACTAAAGACGTCAAGACGTTATTTGTTGGCTTGCCAGAACTTAGAGTTGTACACGTTTTTTATTCTAATTTAAAGAAAAAATTGTGATTTCTAGGACTAAGGCCGGAACATTCTGTCCAATTTACGCATAACCGACTATCATTGTTTTGATTAAAATTTCGTAGTTCAGGCCATTTTATTGTCTCCTGGGTGGTCTTTTTGTCGATCTTCATAGATGAATCCTCGAAAACCCAGTTTTGAGAATCAGCACGGGATAAGTTTTTTTTATACCACTAAAATCAGCAACGATTCAACAAAAACTGATTTATTGTTGAATCATCGCTTGCTGATTTTGGTGATTTTAAGAGAAATGAATTAGTGCTGATCAGCAAATAAGTATCTGGTTACGATCAGATCCTAATTGTTCAATGCCAGTCTATTATTTTTTTTTGTTATTATAATGAATTAGCATAACGAAGATGAAGAGATCGCTCCCAAAACAACAACTAAAAAATTGAGAGTCTGCAGTTTGGACAAGACATAGCATTCTCCAACTGCAGGAGTTCACTATGCTATATATCGACTTGAAAAATTCCGGTAAAATTTTAGCAAATTGGCTTTCATGTTTTTTGCTGTCGCAGAAGTCGACGGGTCTGTTAATGAATTTTGCCAGCCGGCAAGCGCGATCCCAGAAACTTCTTCTTGCTGCTTCCTGCCGAAGTCGCGGAAAATCAAAAAATTTACCACGGCTGCTTGAAAAGGATAAATTTTTGTGCCAACTGAACAACTAGCGCTCGTTAATAATTTTCGACAGGAGAATTAAATATTTACGTTCGAGAAAAAGAGTTAGTGGAAGAATGTTCAGGATACGCAGCCGAGCTTCAAAATGTTCATCAGTGTAGTTTATAATTCACCGGTTACCTTTTTTCTGTATGCATTCGATTGATCTCCTGTTCTTTCTGTTGGGAACCATACCGAGCTAACGTACATCAGGCGCTGGAGAATCCTTGACTTATACAACTTCAGTTTGCTGTTCGAGATCAAATAAGCCGAAGCATTTCTTTTCAGCAATGGCTTTACGGCAGAAGTAAGTAGCAATGGCTTTACGGCAGAAGTAAGTAGCAATGGCTTTACGGCAGATAGACGAAAAATTAGGAGTCCAGCTTGATGTCGAGCAATGGCAAAGGACAGCAGCAGTTTTTTGAAAAACACAGGACATGGACTTTTAATTTTATTCAACTTCAAATTATTTTCGAGGCACCAGATGCCTGCGACTTCTATATCGTATTGAACTTTGCCAGTCATCATGCCCAGATGAATAGACAAAAGTTTTGAGTCGTCCGCAAAGCTGTAAATACTCGAGACTAATCCCACGGTAATATCCAATACGTATACTAGGAATGACGAAGAACCCAAAAATGATTCTAGAGGAATTCCACTCTCGACAAGTAGAACAAGTGATTTCACAGAGAACAAAATGATTGAAAAAACAGACCTGAGCAAAATGATTGAGTCCCATTAAGTATGCTTGATCACTTTCAACAACTTTCCTCCGACTCCAATGTTCCTCAATTTATTTAAGAGTAGTCGGTGGTTTATTGTATCGAAAATTTTACCAAATCTAGATGGACGGCTTGAACTGTGAAGAAGGGTCATCAATGCTTTTATAAACATCATCGAGATGACTCAGAAGTTGCAGAATATTCGAGTTTTTTTTCAGGAACCCTTACTGTGAAACACCTAGAAATGGTCTTATGAAAAGATACAGCGAGTCGAAGTTGCATTTTTTGAACATTTTTGAAGCAATGTTCAAGAGTGTGACAGGCCTGTAGTCCTCAGCTTGAGTTTTGCTAAGTTTTTTATGCAAGGGTTTCACTTTGCCTGTTTTCCAAAAGTGAGGAAACTTTGTGGTTCTTTTATTGCAGGAAAAGACGCAGAAAAGAGATTTTGCCGGAATTGGAGTTTTCTTGAAAAGATTCGGAGGCAGTCCATAGGGGCCCCGTGCTTTCAAAATGTCGAGAGCATGTGATATGCTTCTATTTTCTCCATTGACATGTTGTAAGTGTCTATGATGACAGCTAGAAGGGGGACCTTTTCTCAAAGGGAGCTTCCTTCGCTGTGAATACTGAATGGAAGAAACGATTGAAAAGGTTGCATATGCCTCTTTGATCGGTGGTTTATGTGCCTGGCCACTCAATGAATGGTGGTAACTGCTTACTAGATCTAACAACTTTGAAATATTTTTTAAAAAGCAGTGCTATTGCGACTATCGGCAAGCGCTGAATAATGCCGATTTCAAGCTGAGAAAAAAACACTGTTTGGTTTCTACAGCTTTTTCAACATACATTGTTGAAATATTGATTACGCTTCTGAACCTTTCCTGTTTCTTAATACAAATTGCGAACAATTTAAGATCATTAACTCTTCTTAGTGAAATTATTATGCGTTCAAATCACAAAAAGTTCAATTTCTAGAGGTGAAATTTGGTATGGTATGACTTACCCAGCTCTGCCAAATTTATGAAGTTAAATTTCTACCTGTGCAAATGCATATTGTTGCTGTGCAAATGTCTCGTAGTCATTGGACAACTTGTAATAGTCCCGCTTAAGTGACTCAATGTCATCATCTCCCGACAGTTGGCTGCAAATGATACAGTATTTTTATGAGCTGATAATTTAAAAATGTAAAATCTGATCAATTTCGCCAGAGGGATTTTCAATGAAACCATTGGTACAAAATCAAATTCTCAGTACTTTGCTTGTTAAATTAACATTCACTGAATTAACATATACAGTGTCAAAAAATCAATTAGCATAAAAAGCACAGTTTTTTAACTGGTTAAGCGGTTTAAAGGTGACCCCATTTCTAACATTTTAGAGTTAAATAAAAATAGTACTCACATGTACATGGAGTGGTTCTTCAGAGGGATGATATTTGCATTCTGGCCACGTCTCGTGGCCATAGTCGGTCCCGATCCACAATTTCCTCCCCCCATTCCACTGCCAATACCACCCCCTGGTCGACCAGATCCCATGCCCCCTCCCCCTCCGCCTTGGTTGAGTCCAGGGCAGTCTGGTTTAGTACAACAGAGGTCACTTTGGTTCTTGGCCTGGTTCTAAAATGTATGAAACTTATGAAGATTTCAAATTAATAGAAGAAAATTTTGTTCGTTTTACTTTTTTATTCTGGTTTGTTTATTTATAGTATTTTTTCTTCAAAAACTTGGAAGAGCAAAATAAAATTGTTTAAAAGTTTGAAAAGTCAACATTAGTTTGAGAAGTATTTTTTATATAAACTGCTTTGAAAAAAACTGGGTTTTGTGGCTGAACTATTGATTTGACAAGGCTGTAGATGAGAAAGAGTTGTGTTTCGAATATGTTAATAACCATATGCACACCAAACTTTGAAACAATCGGGTAATGTTACCGTCAGATTCAGTTGATAAAAATCACAGGAGGAAGGAAGAGTCAAAGAATAACCGATTCGCAGTATATTCCGTCTGGGTTGGGCAGGCCGCAGTTGTCGAAGCCACTGACGACAGTGTGTGCCCTCACCCCAAACTTGTGCGGGTCTCGATCCGCACACCTGGTTAAAAGTAAGCAGACGTTTTAACGCATCATCTCCCTCAATCATTATAAATTCGATGAGACTTTTTCAAATTATAGCCCCCTCCCTCCTTGCTGAAGGTTTTTCATCTTACGGAGAATTGTTAATCTACAAAAATATTTATGAGAAATATCCCTAAAAATACTTCTCTTTTTAGAATAAAAAATAGTCTCGACAGATTTTCTTTAGTCAATTAAAGTGTTTTGATTCAGAGTGCTAAAATTATCTGCAAAAAATTTGATTCAAGAGAGGGCTACAATTAAAAAACCACTACATTGCTAGATTCAAACTTACTTGATGACAACAGGATCCCATCGCATGCTGAAAAATACATCATCTTTTGATAAATCACCGGATTAAATTTAATTAATTTTATTTGATTCTAATGAATTACTTTTGCTTGCAAAGCCGTTAGATTATTTTAAAATTAATTTTACATATTTTTTTTAAATTAACTAATCTGGACAACTTACTTGGGGCCGAGTCCATTCGGCACCTGATTCTCACACAGATTTTCACAATTTCTAAACAACAATTTAAACTTGAGAACATTTCTTCACGAGGGAAAGGACCAACGGGAATAAATGTAGCGAACTTTTCAGATCAATACAGTTAAGGGTTCAATCGACCTTAATTAGGACACGCATGCAGTTTTTTTGGTTTTTTGCGTGCTAAATAAAGATGCCGGACCCGCAAGCTTCGAGGCCACATGATGATGGCCTTGGAACTACAGACCTTCAAGACTGACAGGAGGATACTTCGGAAACTTCACCACCGCTCCCCTTTCGTTTAATCTATTTCAATCACAAATCTTAGAGAAAAAAGGCGGAAATCGAATGAGTTCAGGCCGAATTCTTGCCAGCAGCCCCTTTAATGCAATGAATTCAAGCGAATTTTTACGAATTTGTTTTAATATTTTGTGATACTAAAATTTAGTTGCTCCTTTTTGAAGGTAAGTTATTTTTAACTTTTTTGGGACCTCAAAAACCGCGAAAGTACCAATCGAAGACCAAACATGTTTGCCATGGCCTAATTAACCCACCGGCCAGTTTTCGTTGCAATCGGACAAGGTGAACAAAAATTTACAGGTGGGGGCAGGAGATTCTGCATTTGAGGCTAGAGATCGAATGTTCTGTTGGTCCAAAAAACATAATGTAATCCGAATCTCCTCACATGTATCTTGTTTCAGCGTAGCCGACTCTGTTCTGATTTCCAGGTCCTCCCGGAACGTTGCAGTTGTTGATATAGTCTTGAGCTGAGTTCAAGTCACCCCTGCAACAAACAACAACCGCTCATCAACGAGCAATATGAAGTTTGAAAGACAGAAAAAACGAAAGATGTAATGACAGAGAATACTAACGACTCGTTAACTGGGTAGCATGCAAACATTTGTTGGCCATCTCTGAAAAAAAAGGTTTATTTGGGTCTGCAATTTTTGTTTTAAAGAATTTTGAAACAACTCAACTAGAAAAACAATCAAAAGTTTTAATAATTGTAACCAGTAGCGGAATTGGAGAGACCCCTTATTCGCAGGGATTCAACCCCCTGCAGACCCAAAGGGTTTCCCTTTTGAAATATCCATTTTTAGCTGACTGACCATAAAATTTTTCTAAGGGCGCCTTCGGCTTCTTCCATATATAATAGTTTTGCGGGGGAGCAATTTTTTGGTCAGAAACATCCTTAAAACGTCTTTTTGACCTGTTTTTTGTTTACAAAAACTTGGTTGTGGCGCCAGAAAATTTGGTCAAAATAGGGTCTTTATAGTGATTTGGGAAAACGAAGAAAATCATATTGGTCAGCCAAAAAAAAGGTCGAAATATTGGTTTCCTAAATACGTTTTGTCGGAACTTTGATGGCACCTTTTATATCTCGGTCCGCAGTTGACGTTTTTGAACTGGAGCCAGGCTTCGAATGGCTCGGGGTCCTTGAACATCAGCGGTTGTCCCCAGCCCACTCCACCCCCTTTGCCCTTGCCCTTACCCTCCTTCTCTGCGTTGGCATTGTTGTCTTTCTTGTGGATGTTACCGCCTGAAAAGCACAAATATATATATATATCGTTTGGTCGTAGGCCAACAAGCCGAAGGGCCAAAGCAAATCGAAAATAAGATTGCCATGTCAACAAGCCAAAAATTACTTCTGTAATGCAACATAACAGTCGCTCGTCACTGTTGCCATGCAATTGTTACGTAATTTTGATGTAATTTCGGCCTCAAGATATAGCGGATTGTTGAACATCCACCATATCTTTCAAAAAAATGGTCAATTAAATTAATGGGTGTAACTTTAAAATTTTTGTCAATAAAAAGCTAGTTCTCGTTAAGTATGGTACGACTGTTGTTATAATTGATCACCTTAAGTTAGTTGTAAGAAATTTTTTCAGCAATTTTTTTCTAGAAACTTGCTGCAATCATTTTAGTCGTTTTCCTTCATTTGGAAATAAGATGTTTTTTGTAAGAAAGGCTTATATGTTTTTTTTTAAATTTTTTTTTTCGTTTTATAGACATTGATTACCTTTATATGAGGATGAAGTTGAACTTGAGTCTCCCATTCCACCGCCCATCCCTGAAACAGAAAAGAAGAAATGAAGTAAGAAGAGGTTTCAAATGACTTAAATACAGTTTTTGTTGATAGTTAAGTTACGTTAATACAACCCGAACTGACCATCATCGTAATCAGCTTCCCCTTCCTCGCCATCCGACATCCCACTGGGCCTCGTAGTGCTTCCACCAGTCATCCCGGAAGGCCGGGTGCTACTGCCACCAGACATTCCCTGACTTGGTCTCTGGCTACTTCCGGCTGCCGTCCCACTCGGTCTCATAGTGCTACCGGCACCAGTTGGTCGGGCCATGCTGTCTTCATCCGTCGCCGAAGTGTCACTAGGCCGAGTAGCACCACTGGGTCGACTCCGTTTTCCGCTAAATGGGGCGCCACTTGGCCGGGTACCAGCTCCGCTAGGCCTGCTTGCATTTCCGGCGAGAGCGCTGTCTGATTCGGATCCACTAGCGCCAGACATTCCTCCCGAAGCACCACTAGGTCGGGCAGTTCCGACAACAGATGCTGTTGCTCCACTAGGTCTTGCCTGACTTCCTGCGGCGGCAGACCCCGCGGCAGCTGATCCTCCGGCTGCTGATCCGGACATTCCACTCGGTCTTGCAGTACTTCCAGTACCACTTGGCCGCGCAGCGCTTCCAGCAGCTGCAGAACCAGGTGCTTGTGAGCCTCCAGCAGCGGAACCTGACATCCCGCTGGGTCTTGCAGTACTCCCAGCAGCAGTACCAGACGCACCGCTCGGTCGAGCAGTGCTTCCGGCTGCTGCCGATCCAGGTGCTTCTGAGCCTCCGGCGGCAGATCCAGACATTCCACTTGGTCGCGCTGTACTTCCAGCTGCTGCGGAACCTGGCGCTTCCGAGCCGCCTGCTGCTGAGCCTGAAACTCCGCTGGGCTTGGCCTGAGATCCACCGAGTGCCGATCCGTCAGCTTCTGACCCTCCAGCTGCCGAACCCGACATTCCACTAGGTTTGGCTGTACTTCCCGCAGCCGTCGATCCTGGGGCTTCCGAGCCTCCGGCGGCAGATCCGGACATTCCACTGGGACGTGCAGTGCTTCCAGCTGCTCCCGAGGGTCTTCCAGTACTGGCGCCTGACGGTTTTCCTCCCGCTGCACTACCAGCTGCACTGCCACCAGCTGCACTGCCACCAGCTGCGCTGCCTCCCTCAGATGCGCCCTCGAAAAACCCAAAATTAAAAACTGACTAGAAACATGCTCAAGCTCGTCCACATTTTGGTCTGTGGTGCTTAGAAAAATATAGCCAACTGACTGTTGGAAAAGACTAATGAACTCAAGGAAACTGAAAAAACTGACTTGTTTTGTTGAAAAACCTTCAAATTTTGAACTTTGAAAAAATAGATGGCTTTAAAGCTCTTTGAGTTTATAGAACAGCTGAAAATTTGAGCTTGTAGAAAAGTGTTTTGATTGACACTTTTTTGATAAAATTAAACCAATTTCAGAAAACCAGATCAATAGGTAAAACTATTTATTTCGCTGGGAAATCTGATAATTAATTTCCATTTTCGAAATTAGAAGCCGATCACGTTTTTCGTCACCCTTACATTTTTGCTGCTCGATAGTGGAGTTTGCCTTCCTTTTAACAAAAGAAATGAGGTAATAGAAAAAATCAAAAACCGACTGTTTTCCAGTTTCCCACCTTCCTCGTAAAATTACCGTATAAAGCTGTTCAAAAATTGTTCACACATTTTGCATGTAAGAAATATTATCAACATTTGCTCACATGTTCACATTGACACGTTTCAATGCAATTTAGAACAAGAAAAGTTATTTTCAATAGACTTTTTTTACATTGAATTTCAGAAAAAAATCAAAGGGGGAACTGGAAAAAAGCCCAAAAATCAAACCGCGAAAAACTAAAATGAGAATGAACAAATTCTTGAAAAAAAGACAAAAAAATCACCAAGACCTATATAAGAGTACTCACTACGTTCATAACTCTTAAAAGTGGAGAAAAAAATTTTGATTTCAAACTAAGTTGAAAACTTGGATCGAAGTGTAATCAGAATATCAATTTTTACTCTTTTTAATTATTAATTGATAATATAACGGCATCTAACCGAAGCATTTGATCCAGCACCCCCCAAACTAACAGATCCTCCTGCCTCGGAACCAGTTTTTGATCCCGCTCCAGATCCTGCAGCACTTCCAGCTCCACTTGCTTTGGAACCAGCTTGAGATCCAGCCTTGGACCCAGCAGCTTCTGGACCGGTCCAGTTCCCAGCATTGGTCGATCCAACCATCGAACCTTGACCAGAAGCTCCAGCCGCACCAGATCCTGCCTGTTTACTACCAGACAAGTCACTTGCGGTACCCGAAGGCTTAGCCCCTGATACTTTGGTAACTTCTCCAGACATCTCGGAAGCTTGCGATCCCGATGGTGCTGCAGAACCTGCAACTCTGGATCCAGTACCAGCTGCTGAACCTGCGGCTGATCCACCTGCGGCAGAGCCAGCAGCGCTTCCACTGCCTGCAGCGGAACCAGCAGCGCTTCCAGTACCTGCTGCAGACCCGGCTGCAGATCCAGCAGCAGCAGAACCCCCAGCTGCCGACCCAGCTGCTGACCCAGTTCCAGCTGCAGATCCACTCATTTGAGACTTATTCGAACCCGATTTCTTTGAGGCCTGTGATGCATTTGCCATAGAGCCACTCATTTTAGTGGATCCTGCCATGGAACCTGCTTTGCTCCCACTTCTATTGGAAGGTGCTATAATATTTTTGTTATCAAGAAGCGGAGAGGAACCGATATTAATAAAAACCGCGTTCAAAATCTTAAGATGTTTAAAATTCCAAAAAGATATTAAATTTATATTTGTTATTATTATTCTGTTATTCATTCCAAAGTGATTTCGTTTTTCGATTTGTTGTTAAACTTTTTGAGCAAGATTACTTTTTTAGGTTACTTTACGAGAAACCCCAAGATCTTGAATCAATTAAAATCAGGAACTTTATGTGATTATTTTCAAATCAAATCAACTGGAGAAGGGTTTAATCAACGGTAATAAAGACTGAGTGATAGAATATTGAGTCATTATATTGAGTACAATCATGAGACAGTATATTAAGTCTTAACTATCATCCGATTTGCGTTCCTTGCTTTTGATCAAACTGATATAAAATTATCTGAAAACAGTTGCGACAGCTTCGCCTTCTCAATCTGTGAGGTGAGGTTTCGGCTTATAAAACGCTGGCTCCCGCTGTCTGAGTCCAAAAAAAATGATAGACGGGGACTTATTAGGTTAATCTTGGTTAGAAAACATAGTAAGTTGGCGCACCCAACAATTGTAAAACTCTTTTTAACCATAACATTGATTTTCATGCGACGTGAGAGGGGAGCGGGGAAGAAAAAGCCTTCAGTGTGGTAATACTAACTGGCAGATCCGGCGTTGGATCCCGCTTGAGTCTGGACCACGGACTGCGACGGATCATCTCCACTCATCATACTGCCTGAAAAACACCACAAAATCTGACGGACGGGTTGAATAGTTTTGCAAGATCCGATATTATTTGTCTTGATGGTATAATCATATGATATTTTTCATCAATATAGTCATCTGAATATCTTAGAAAGATAGCCATTTTGGGGTTATGTTTTGCCTAATGCCTATTAAGGGCTAAAACCGACCCCATCCCCCTCGCCACTATCAGGTCCTGGTTTTTACGGTAAATTGTTGGGAACAGTTTTTCTCAAATAATGCTTGCTTCCATTAAATTTTTTGCAACTTTTCGCAGGCGTCATATTTTATGAGGGAACTTTTGACTAACTAGGAAACTACAAAAAAAACTCAAATTGATAATTTACCTGATTCTGTTCCAGAGCGCTTGCTGCTCGAACTAAAATGAAATAAAGACATGAAAACAACTATTCGATCAAGATTGAGCGAATTTTTTAAAAATGTTATTCTACCAGTACATTCCCCTTTGAGCCAACATTTATCATAATCAAAAGTGGAAATTGGTCCTTACTGTTAGAAAAGTTTTTTCTCTACCCATTGGACTGGTTGAAACTTGAGCCCGTCAAAATTTGAGCCCGGAAAAATGGAAATAGATTTTTTTCTTGCTCGGCAGATTTGGTCGTTCCATTTTGTCCTCCTATCTCAAAAATTGCTTTACCAGCAGATTTCATTTCGTTTACTAAACTATTGCCCATTTTATTATTTGATTAATTCGGTGAGGTTTAATGAGCACTTTTTGGGCTGATATTTGTTGCGAGCTTGCCAGTCCCAAGATGTGAATATTGAAATACAGGAGATAATCTGCGTATCAAAGCGCCCCCACAGGAGAGCCGAAAGCAGGATAAAATCTGTGAAACTTCAAATAGTTTGTATGACTCTCCATACTAGTCATTAAAAATATTTTCAAGAATTTATTGTATAGTATCTGAGAACATTTAAAAAAATGCATGTTACAGATTGTTTTAAAAATATAACTGATGAAGTTCGAGAAAATGGTCAATTTTATGTGCGAGTAGTGCTTTGTAAAAAAAAACAGCATAAAGCTAGATTGATTCATATCTGGCGATGTTTTTTGCGCTGATAGTTTTCTCGAAACGAATGCCGTTTTTGAATATATTTCGGAAGTTTTCGACAAAATTTTTCTCAACGCTCACCCCGCAAAATTTTTTATATTGAAGTCGAGGGCACCATTTAAAAAAATTTTCAAGTGTAAATGGCTCCTGTTAATTAATTCCAGAAAACCCTTCCAAAAAGTTAAGCAAACAGAATTGAAGAATAAAATTCGCCAAGTTGAAAGAAATCAGTGAGAAAATCAGTCAGCTTTGGTCAGTTTGAAGGGCGCTGATTGGATGATTTTTTTTTGCATCAAGTTTTCTTTCCTATCATAAGAACTGCCTCACTTCCGTTATTTAGGTAAACAATCGCAGGTCAATTGAATTTACGCTCAAATAACTATAGTGAATCAAAATGAGAAAAATCTAATGCTTTAATAAATTTCTCGTTGTTGAAAACAAATCTTTATTAAACTGCCAAAAACGGGCACTTGATTTTCAATTTGACAAAGTTAGTGATCGGTTTCAGGTTCGCTTAATTATCATATGTGCATCCTCAGTGCTCATATGATATGGCGTCGCCACTCACCTTCCTTATTGGTTCAGATACCACAACTTTAAAATTATTTGGATATGCCAAAAAAATCAAATCTAATATGTCAATTTTTAGTTTTAAGCGAAATCAAAACATTTGCAACAGTTTCATTTTTCAGATCAATATTCGTGTTATCTGGCATGTAAAAACTCTCGGTGCTATCCGTTGCTTTTAGTTTTTTGCCATATCTAAGCGAAAACAGAGATCTCAATAAGAAATCGATAAAACCTTTGAATTGAAAAAACATGGCTTCGATACTTGCAACTTTGCTCCAAAAGACTAGTTCAGACATTGATATCTCTCAAACTTTTGCTACATTGAAACAACTTTCAAAAGCCTTACAGGCAAAACATGAAAATTTTTCAAAGTTAGAACAGAATTTGCATTGTCTGTTGAAAAAAGTAAACAAGCAACAGCGTTATTCTAGTAAAAATTGCGTTGTTTTTACCAAATTACTCCTTAAAACCCTAGTATCATATGTTGTGGATTTTATCAAGTTTCTCAAGATGTAAATAGTTGTGCTTGTGCAAAAGAGGGATCGACAAGCTTGCCATGCCTTCAACCAATTCAGATCATGGCATGACCGGCCCAGCGAATAAGTTTGTATTCGTATCTTTTAAAGCAAGGGATAGGATTTTCGGTCGTAATTATATGCTGCAAGGTACAGAAAACGACTTGAACGGCAAGCCAATTTCTTACGCAAAAGTTGAATCGGAGCGTATGCAAAAGAGTTGGGTTGCAAAACTACGTCATACATTTCGGCGCCTCAACTATTGGTCAAAATGGCGCTGCTAAATATCTTACAAATATTGACCACAACGATATTGGCGCACTGTACCAAAATGAAATTGTTTTTTGAAGTCAAGTATTGCGCCCAAAAAATATAGGCACGAGGCAGCAAATAGTTGAAAACGTGGGCTATTCCATATTCCCATTAAAGCTTAAGGCTTAACAGGAAAGAAATGATTGCACACCGCCAAAAACCGTTTACTTGGGTTCCCGACGAGTGAAAATGCAAATGCTAGAAGAAACAATGTATGTGGTGATTTTTCTGGAAATTTCCTGATCAAAAGAAAAAAATAAGACTTCAAATGAAAGCTACTCAACTACTCAACAGGAGAATGAAAAACATTTTTTATTTTGATATTTTACTTAAATTGTTTTTGAAAGAAAAAAACCAGCAAAAAATACGTCATTATGATCAACTGGCTATAGAAATACAAAAGTCACTGCTTATAGCATTATGTGAAACGTGGCTAAGTAACAATGATCATGCGTCGCCATCTTGGAAAATGTACCCGCAAGAAATATGTACTTTTACTTTGTAAACGTTCAACAGCTGTGTCGCCATCGTAACCAAGTGTTTATAGAAATATCTAATCTGGATTAAAAGCCACTTGCTTATAGCACTATGTGAAACGTGGCTAAGTGACAATGATCATACGAATGTGTAACAATTAAATGGCTACAATGATCCTATTGTAAAAACTTATCTAGGAGAGGTGGGTTTTGCTTTTGTTCATTCGGGAATATTAGAATTAATAAAAAAAATGGAGGTTAAATTATTGAACATTTTGATGAAAACGAAAACAACTTTGTTGTTGTTTTTAAACCTCCATCCAATAATTTACAGTTTTTTCGAAAAAGTATGATGTTTTCGGTTGATTTGAGAAATTTGATTGGCGAATGTACATTATGGGGAAACTTCATTAATAATTTTCCAAATCCGTAAACCAAAAGAATTACTTTTGAATAGAAAAATAACTGAGAATTTTGATCGATTATGCATTGGTAGCGGAACATTTGTTCAAGCAGTACATGTTGAAGATCACAATTTTATTTAGAGATATGACAAAACTAAAAAGCAGCGATAAGCCAAATTTCTATCCCTTTCACAAAATCAACTAGCAAATTTTTAAAATCAGATACATCGCCTTTTTAGATGAGTTTCAGATTGCGTTATTGGATGTTTTCAAGTTTTTCCCCTTAAAAGAGCGCAAATTAAATTCATAAAATGTGATTAACAAGAAATTGAAATTTGATTAAAAGAGATGAACCAGTTTTTAAATATTGAAAAAGTAATTGTACGGCAGATAAAACAAATTTATTCGAATTTAAAAGCTCGTAACCAAAAGAATAAGAATAAATACGTAAGTTTCATAATGAAAATAGGCTAGCTGTAAAATTTCTTCTTTCAAAGTGTATCATAGCCTGATTGGTAGAAGACGACAAGAAAAATTTAATTTGATGTTGACTACTGTAATAATTTCTTTTCTTCCATTGGAGAAATTTTGGCAGAAATCAAACTATTTAACAAAACCGCTGCTGGAAAAGTTTTAACAAAACTGGCGCGCGTCAAATTGAAAAAAAAATCAAATCATTTTAAAAAAAGTACCGGTCAAATTGCTGTTAGTTGTGAAATGGTTGAACTTGTGGCTCCAATTAACAGCAGTATTTTGTCTAAGTGCTTCAATTTGATTATTGATTTGAGGATTTTCCAAATTTTGGTTAAAATGCCAACAACATCCCAAGATTCTAAATTGTCAGAAAATGCGATCCTAACAATGATCGGCCAATTCGATTGCTAACATTGTTTTGCAAATTTTTTGAAAAGCCGTTTTTTGATCGATTTTCTATGTTTGTAGTAAGAAACAAACTTATTGCAGATGAGCAGATTGGATTAAGAAAAAGAAGATCTTGCAAACAGGCACTGCTGAAGGCAACTGAGTCATTTCTAAAACAGTTGACACTATAAACTTTGGTGTTGCTTGCTACATTGATATTAAAAAAGCAATTGACTTTATTGATCATAGTAGTTCATCGCAAAAATCAGTGCGATATGGAAAACTAGAGAATATTTGAAATCGCACTTTTTGAGCGGGAAAAAACATATCAGTTACTGGCTGGAAAAGAATCTCAATGTAAAATTGTTGAAATTGGTGTGCAGCAACGTACAATACTGGTCTTTTTCTCTTCTAGTGTTTTTTCTTTGTTGAAGTGAAAACTGTTGCTAACAGCCAACCATGTTTTTTGCAGATGACACAACCATTAAAGCAGACTGCAGAAGTTATAAGAAAATATGACTTTTCTCTTAAGCAAAAATAGAGGCAATTGATGATTTTCGCTTAAAAAACAGAATCATGCTTAAATTTTCAAAATGCACAATTGAGACGTTTTTGCCTGAAATCAATCATTTTGAATTTTTAGCATAATACTCTTCAATTTTAATTGAATATTTAGGAGTCTAACTTAAAACAATTAGCATTTTTAAGAACACGTGGTTTTTGTTCGCAGAAAATTGGCACATTCTGCTCGACGACTTTTTTCCCGAGCTTATAACCGCTCATAATGTTTAAGCAAAATCTTTAATTATATTTGGTCGAGTTTTTTTTGAATTCATCCAGAAGTAATATGAAAAAGATTTCACATTAAACAAAATAATTTCTTAAAAAGATTTTTTTTCTGTTGGAAATGTGATCAGTCGGTACTTTTGTTCAATCAAAAATCTACTGAAACGGTTCTTCAAATTGAACCAATGATCTAAGATGTTCGGGGATCCCCAGTTACAATTGATTTTCTTGCTAAATTATTCCTCGTTTGCTGGGTAATAACTTTAGCTCTGGCTTTTAATTGCAAGAATTGGTTTAGTTCAGTTTTATAAACAATGTTGCGGAGTCTACTTACGTTTCCGGATTCTTTTTACATTTTGCGGAATTCGCTTACGTTTGTGGCATCCGTTATAACAAGCTATTTCCGCTTATTGCGAAATCTTTGACATAACAAATGACAAATTTTGCGTCACAAGTATTTGTACGCGGAATACACGGAAATTTTGGAACATGTTCAAAGACTTGTCAGTGGATTCCATCTTGCGCATCTCTCCATTGCACAGTTTGGCCTCGTAGTGATGCAAAATATCTTATTATTATCACAATGTTAAAGTAGTTTGTAAAGTTGAAATTTTTGAGCAGATAATAAAACGGAAAATAGCCCAAGCCTATTTTGTTGAGTCATGAACCTTTTCAGAGTTTTTCTGTTTCTGGGCGCGAGAAATTGAATTTTGGCTCCTCTTCCCACCCCCACGATTTTTCATTTTTTTGGTGTAACGAGTGCTTTTACGAGGTTGGTTATGAAGATCAAACATCATTGTCATGGCCAAATAAGACTGCGTGCCAGATTTTGTAATAATCAGACGATGTGATCAACAAGTTTATTTGTAAAAGTTTTCAGGTAGGGGAATGAAAAATAAAAGATATTGTCTATTGCGAGGAAGAAACAGAAAAACAACCCGTGCCTCAAAAACAAAAGTAGCCACCTCTTGCGCTACTTTTTATTTTGAACTGAGGGCGTGGGGGGGGGGGTTGAAAAGAGCTAATACCAGACTTTATTGGGGGTGAAGAGACCCTTCTCTCAATTACATACCGGTTGTCGTCGGCATTGTTGGCACTGAGGTTCTTGCTCTGCTTGCTCTTGGATCCGGCAGAGGAGGAGGATTTGGTGGAGCCGGTCGACCTCTTCCATGCCGAAGGTGGCTGTCCAAACTTTTGTGGCTGAAAACAAAAAATAAGTACAATCAGTTACATTTTTACAGGGCTATGTTACCGTTAAAATTTTTCAATAAAAACTTGGCTGAACAAAATATATGCACATGGATCCTATTCTATGACTGCAACATGGGTATAGGAACAACTGGCAAAAATTATAGAAGGAGAAAGGACCTGTATCCCATCCGTCAAAAGCGTGCACATAATTTTTCTAGGAGGGACTGTTTTTCGAAAAATTTTGCTGACCTGTTTTTTTTATTGCGACCAATTTGATTTACCGAGCGCTCCGAAAATACTATAAGGATCCTATTTTGGTAAAAATCTTGTGCGCCACAGGCACAAATTTTTCAAAAAAGAACAGGCCGAAAAAGGCGTTTTAAAGGCGCTAGAATGTCGAAAATTAACCAAAAAAGACAGAATATTTTAAAACTAAAATTTTTAACTCTTTCAAATTGGCACAAAATTTTGAAGAGTTAAGTAAACGTACCATAATTAAAAAGAGTTATAATGGCTGGAACTGTAAATCACTAAAAATGAGGCTGGTTCTTCTATCTCCTTGCGCCTTCTTACTCTAAACAGAAACCCTGTAAAGCTGCAGATTCTTTAGTTACTCGATGACAGAATTTCAGAAATTAAACTAACAGCTCTTGGTTTTGAAAAATGAAAAGGAAATTTTGAATCTGAGTTGATCTCTTAAATCGTGTAGCTTCCAACGGCCTTGACTGATGATTGCATAACAAGTAAGAAGGAGTCACGTGCGCAAATGCTTCAAATGGAAGTCAATTTTGACTAGCTATCGCCAAAACTGATGAGCTGTTAACTCAGAGCTATGATTGAAATTTTTAGTCATAACGTTTTCATGCCTCAAATATTTCGTTCTATGTTAATACTCTAACTCTCTAGCAAATTATAGTGCCCGAGCTAAAGATAGCATCCCACTTCAAACAAATATAATATATTGCCTAGGAGGAGCTATTGCCTTTTTCTCTCTAAATCCCCTCTCCTCGGGCCGAGGTCCAGACTCATTTCCAGACTTTTTGGGTCGCATCGGACTCCGGCCAAAATTGCATAGTCGCGCCGAGAGTTTGAGTCTGGAAAATCTGGACATGACTCGCGCCGTGGGTCACGAAAGTCTGGACATACCAAAGTTCGGTCGCGAAAGACTGGACATGGGTCGCGAAAGTTTGGAAAGTCTGTGTTCGGACTTTCGCGACCCATGTCCAGGTTTTCACGATTCACGTCTAGACTTTCCAGACCTTACGTCCAGTTTCGCCAGACCTAAACTGCCTGTGCGACTACGCAATTTGGGTCTAAATCTGGATGCGGCGTGACTCACGGTGCGAGTTTATGTCGAGACCTTCCAGACTCAAACCTCGGATTAACTTTGCAATTTGGGTCTGAATCCGGATGCGGCGCGACCAAAAAAGCGACTTTCGTGGCCGACGGCGAGACTTCATGTCCAGACTTTGTGGAATCAATCTCTCGTGGGTTTTGGGTCTGCAGCCGGATATTTTCGAGAATAAGGCGGAGACGGCGCAACTTTCCAGACCAAGGCGGAGACGGCGTGACCAAGAAACAAATCCTCGCGACCAAAGTGGATACTACGCGATTTTCGCAACTTTTCGGACTGGGTTAGATACGGCGCGATTTTTGCTAGCAAGGCGGAGACGGTACGACCAAGAAAAAAATCTTCACAAGCTTCACGACCAAGGCGGAGACGGTGCGACCCAGAAAAATCCGCGCGAGCTTCGTGACCGTGCGGAAACGGCTGGACTTTCCAGACCAAGGCGAAGACGGCGCGACCGAGAAACAATTCCGCGCGAGCGAGATGGACACGGCGCAACTTTCGCTACCAAGGCGGAGACGTTGCAACTTTACAGACTAAGGCGGATACGGCGCAACCAGAAAAAATTTTTTGCGAGCTTCGCGACCGGAGGGTTACGACGCTGCTTTCACAACCAAGTTGGAGAAGTCGCGACTATCCAGACACTACGCTATTTTTTTGGTACGATTTTAACAAATCGACTGAATCGAATATATGACGACACAGTACAAAAAGATCTAGATTTTTGGAATATGAGCTAAGTGATTGATATTGAGAATAAAAAAAATCTCACAAAATGTCCCACCTCACATTAGCATCAATTTTAAGGCGCAACCAGAGGTTTTCAAAGTTAAGTTTCAAGACCAAATATAGTTGCCATGGCCTAATTAGCCGCATGCCACTTTGGTTTTTTTCCGACCCCCTCTCCCACTACTCAAAAATTCTCTTTTTTGTTGTTTTACTTTTAATTATGGAATTTGTGATGTAAGGTATAGAGAACAAATTTGTTCAAATTAGTTAGCTTGTTTGTGATTCCAAATTTCATTGCATTATGACAAGGTTGAAATATTTTTTCGAAATTGAAAATTAAAGTTAAGTGGAAAGTGAATAAAACTCGCTTTTTCCACTGCCCACCATCTTTCAAGTTATCTAACTTTCTAAATTTTTGTACCTGTTATTGTGGCTAAATAGGTGTCAGAGCTGACAGGAATGGGTTAGAATACAGTTAAGTTTTATTAATTGGATTTGGATCAGTTTTCAATCGATTGAAATTGAACGCACCTGAAAATTAGAAACAATCCATTTGAACCGATTCCAAATAGATTTCAACTGATTTCATATTCAAAGCGTAACAAAGCTGTTGTGATTGATTTCAAATTGATTTGAATCTATGTTTTTTGTCTTGGTTCTTTTCCACTTCCACCAACATTTCAACTTGAGCTAGAAACAACTAATTTACTGTTGTCATAACGCAATTGAACTTGGCATGGTGAACAAATGAAGAAAATTTGTCAACCAATTTTTTTTCTTACCTTATATTGTTTAATTGCGCGTTTAGCCAAAATCACGCGTAATACAACTATAAGAAGGAAAAACTGAACAGCTGCTGGTTAGAAAATGGAAAAAAGACTTTGTATCTGTATATTTTTCTTTTTGAGAAACTATATATTGACTCAATTTGTTTTAAATTGGTTTAAATTCATCTTACTTCATATTATTTTGTTCAAACTATTTAAAAAATTTTTAATGCATGTCTTGCAGTTAGTTTTTTGTGCTGATTTTTGATTTGAAACCAAACTAAAAGATTAACAAAGCTGCAAGTTTTGTGCAGTTTATTTAATTGATCTAAACTATTTAAATCAATTTTTCTCACTCGCTCCAAAAATGCGGCAAAAACGTATATCTTCATAACGTTTTTTGATGAGTTTTCACTGAAAACTGTTTTTCATCAAGGCGGAATTACTTTATTGCAGATTCTCCAGGAAAAATTTAGCAATTATTACTGTGCGACGACCGTCTACTCCCGAAGTGACTGTAGATTTTCATGAGTACAATTTTTTGCTCAAATTCTGGCGTCAAAAACAAAGATATACTTAAAAACTGCTCGAGGGTTTGAAATTGACCTTCTTACATCCCCACAAAATGATAGCGTAAGTGATCAGAATTTTCCTGGATGAATCAATTCAAATTGACTTAACACCCTGTTTAGGTTCTAAAGTGTGCAAGATAAAAATTTTTAATCTCTTCAAAATCAACTGAAAATGGATTTAAATTGATCATAAACATCATAGTGGGTGATGCTAAAACGAAAGTTTTCACAAAAAAATCAGCTCACAATGTTTAGTTTACATACATACATACATACATACATACATACATACATACATACATATACACATACATACATTCATACATACATACATACATACATACATACATACATACATACATACATACATACATACATACATACATACATACATACATACATACATACATACATACATACATACATACATACATACATACATACATACATACATACATACATACATACATACATACATACATAGATACATAGATACATACATGCATACATGCATGTAAAATTTCTTCGGTCATGCAAAGTCGAAACAAACCCATTTTGAGTCGAAATGGTAGCAACATAAGTCCACGACCTCGACCCGGTTTCGAAAACTTTTATTAATGTACAGCGGACTGAGAAAAAAAGAAATAACTTGATATGTGAGATAGCGCATGCAGCTCATTCTAGCACAGCTTGGTATTTCAAGGTGGGGCACATTATTTGTGGTCGAGACAATCGAAAAATATCTTGCTTGAGTCGAGCACGGCCGAGCCCATTTTTTGTGCTCCAGGCTGCAGTAAACTATCTCGCTTGGGTGAAAGTACTGTTTCTTAGCGTCACATTGCCTTTTTCCGGGTCTTTTGATAGTTTTGATCGCTTTTTCATCAAACCGCTCAAAATCCGCTCGAATTTTGCTTGACTAACCACCACAAGGAACTAGCGGCTTTTCAACGGTTTTTTAAAGAAAAATTTGAGCGGTTTGTACGGTTTTTTCAAAAAAAAAGGCTCAAACCGCTCAAATTTGCTGGAGAACTACTCAAACCGTTCAAATTTTGATCGGGATCTCGACCCGGGGTCCACTGCTTTATCGATGTTTTGGTAGAGCAGCTAATTGCATCTCATTTTTTCTGCGTGCAGAAGTTTATAGCATTGCCTTAACTGATAGCAAAATTGTCATTTCTTTTTTTTGTGTAATCGCAAAGAGTTCTTGTAGTTTGATTTAAAAGACTCTTTCAGTTTGAGTAAAAGTACATGGAGTCGATCGATTTTTGATTGCATTTTCAAGCTGGAACTTTTTTTGGTTTTACAGCCTAAATTAGTTAGCGTAGAAACATCGTGGAGACGTTTCCTTTTTGAACGCTTTTTGCCGCGGAGTTTCACACCTTTAAATCAAATTCAAGCGGGTACACTAGGTCACAATATTATTCACAATCCTGAAAGGGTTATTTTGGTGGTCAGAATAAAACGGCCAATTAAAGATATACGCTAGTTCTCCCTCGGAAATAGTTATAAACACCAATCACCGAAAGAAGTTGACGGAGAGGTTTTACTCACAGAGGTTCTTTTTTCGGCGGCGCAAATTAGTCTAGTATCTACTGCCGCTATAAAATAAGTATGCTCAAAATCTTTATTTTGCGTAAATTGCATATTTCTTGTCTAAGAAGGGTGTTCTACGAGTGCTAGCAGCTTCCGATACAACCGATGGAATTGTTTCAAATTATAACACGCAAGGTATCTTGCCACTACTTATCATCTCTCCGAGTTTCAGCTTCCTACGTTCACTATTTTTTCGGGGCGAAAAATCGGTGGTGGGGGTCCAGGGTATCTAAACGTTAGCGTCCCTCAATTAGGCCAAGAACTATTAAAATTTGAGCCCATTAATGCCGCTAATTGCCGAGTTCTGATAGGGCAATTTACATTTCCGGGGACCGTTATGACTTGCCCCCCCTTGGGTCTGAGGTGTCCCGTTTTTCGTATAGCCCACATCAAATGATCACTGGTATTTGTCCTATGAGTTTCATAAATATGGCGTTCTTAGTTCCGATATAAGGAGGTTTCCCCGATTTCGTTGTTTTTCTATTTTCTGGCATTAGAAGGGACTATATTTTCCAAGAGTAAACTACTTTGCGCTCGACACTTTGTTTGCTGTACTACTTAACTTAATGATTGATTAATATTACGCTCAAGTGACAATGGCATGTAATACAGTAGAAACGCCAGTTTTACATTTTCACCAACTTTTCTCAAATTTGAGAAGTTGTTACGTATTTTTAACATGTCGACTGAATTACGCCTGTAAAGTTTTCTCTTCACTATAATTTATTACTCGACTTTCATACGATTGGTTTTTCTAAAACCCAATTTTGCGAGAAAGATTGATTTTTCGTCTCAAAAACTGTCCGAAAGTCGAAGCGTAGTCTTTGTGATATACACTTTCATTCTTCGTGTATACTTAATATTCATTTTGAAAATTCAATTATAACGCTTCGTACTTTATAATCATAGCAAATGAAAGTTAAATATTGGCTTCGTTTACTTGAACGTTTACTGCAGACAAAACACCATAAACAATTGTTTATTTCCTTCGAACCTGATTTCTGTATACGATTAGTTCACTGAACTTTTTAAAACTTCAACAGAAAAATAGGACTAAAAAATGAGGGTCGATTTGGACAATGACAGATTGGAAATTGTGGACAATAGTGATGCAGATAACGATCAAGAAGAACCCAGTGAAAATCGAGGCCAATCGCAGCTAACTAAAAGCCTGATTATGACCATATTTGGAGCTGTAATTGGTTGTGCGGCTACTAATGGATACAACACGGGTGTTATCAACCCCCCTCAGGTACAAAAAAAAACAGCGATGGATTAACTTCATTGTCCCTGGTTGACCCTCCTACTATCTTATAACTTCTCAAAAGATTTGAAAGAAGTATCTCAATTTCATATTTTCCTAGAAAGTTTCGAAACAATTTTTTCCTATTTTGAAAATTTTCTTATGATAAAGTTGGGTCACATTCTCAGAGCTCTGATCACATTCTTTCTCTGGTCACATTCTCTGGTCACATTCTTAGAGCTGTATAACTGAGTGATGGATGGATGCGGGGAAGGAGGAATGGGGTTGCAATTGTTTTTTTATCATCTACGCAATTTGTCGAGTTTTCCCGGGTTGAAATTGCGTGTATCGTCATTCATGGAAAAAAAAGTTTCAGCAACAAATTAGCAGTGTTTTTTAATGATTTATCGCTAAGAAGTAAAGTTTTTGTCTCTAAAGAATCAGAGAAAATACAACATTGCTAAATTCGATTCTGGTTCAAAGATTGTCGTGAGCACAATCAATCTTGTCGAGATGCTCAATCAGTAGTTTCTACCAGTTGTCTAAGCGATGGTTTCCGCAATGGTGAGTGGAAAATGGTCGACTTCAATGAACTATTCATTGTGTTTTCTTTATTTTATGTATTCGGCAAAAACTTAACCCAAATACCCATATAAATAGATTTTCAAGACCATTTTATAAATGAAAATAGATAATTAGGGGATTTTAATTGATCTTTTTCAATATTAAATAATCCTTTAATAATCAATCATAATCAATACTAATCCATCTTTGTTTTCAATTTAATTTAATTTTCTGTAATATATGAATTTTTTTGGTTCTGCAAAACTAAATCCCGAACGAATACGTTCATCCCCGTACACACCCTGTCCCAAATGTAGACATACGCTTCTACTTCAAGACTCCCCTTCCCTCACACCCCTCCCCCGCAACCCCATGTTACACCCCCATGTATTCAAAAAACATAAGCGAGCAGGGAGGGGGTTGTAAAAATGACGATGGTGTAAAAATGGGGGAAGACATTTATTGGAGGGACTGAAAGGGGCACAAATTGGATTAGGAAAGATAGATAAAGGCCAGCAAAAAGTAAGAAAACAAAAAATTATATTTATTTAAAAAATTGAGAACAGAAAAATAGAAATTTTCTAAGCCAAAGTAAAATTTATCTTATGTAAAGTGTTTTAAAACCAAAAGCAACTAATGCATTTTTAAGTTTCAAACTTATTTTAGAAAAAATGATCATAATCAGTTATAATGGATTACATTGAATTGGCAAAAAAATCAATCATCATATAATCCATTTTCAGTCAATTACAATTAATTATTTTTGATTTTTAAAGACACTGACAACAAAAAACCAATATAATCAATCAATGTTATATGAAAATGCCGTCAGTGTAGCGCAGAAGATTAACAGAGATCTATAAAATGTAGGCTTGATCTCAGTTGGGAGCACCAGCGGTTTTTTGGTCAAGATGGGGTCTTTATACTGATTTAGTAGAGCTCAGAAAACCAATTTGGGCGATCTAAAAAAAAGGTCGACAAAATTTTCAAAATTGTTTCAAAATTGTTTCAAATTGTAATTTTGAAAGCGCCCAAAAGTCCCGCTTCAGAATGAATTTTCAGATCTGGATCTCATGAAAGCGATCTGCACCATAATAATTCTGAGAAAAATGAGAAATTATATTTGAATATTTTTCTCCAAACTTCTAAAATTTCTCAGTTTTTCGTTTTTTTTTCAGTTTGACAGAAAAACTTAAAATATAACTGTGGCTCAACAGAAAATATACGGGCTATGTATAAAGCGACATGTTTAGATTTGCGGCACTTGAGCAGCCATTTACGTTACTTCAAGTAACTCTAACAAACAAGAACAAACAGCGAATTATAGGACATGTTCCGAAAGTGAATTTCAATAATTTCCAAAATCTTGTCATTTTCAGAGGTTGTCTAAATTGATTTTTGAGCTCTTTTTATAACACTACTGTGACCATACATTATAAAAAACACATCTGCACGACAAACAAAATTAGAGAAGTATTGCAAACTGGCGCCGAAAAGTTGTGTTTAGTGGCGCCCAAGGCTTCTTTAAAGAATTTAAGGTTTGGTCAAAAATTATTACCTTTTAATAGTAACGAAGATGGGCCCTTAGGACTACGATTGTGTCAAATTTCAGCAGGAATGGGGCCAAAGAATCAGCCCTTTTAAAACAAAATTCAAAAACTGAAATATAAATTAAAATGTGTTATGAAGGAGCTAATACAAGACTTCTTCAACCAAATTAGCCAACAAAGGACCGGAGAAGATTTCACACCAGGTGCTATGGGCTGGCTCTGGGCAGCTTGCACTGGCTCCTACTTCTTAGCTGCACCCCTCGGATGTTATTTGGGTTCCGAGGCAACTACGAGGCTGGGTCGAAAAAAGGGCTGAATTCAAACACATATAGCAAAGATTTTTTATACAATATTTGGCGTTGAATTCTTTATCTAATCAGAAAAAGGTCATTTTTACCGTTAAAACTAGACTTAATTGTTTTTTGAAACTATACTGTCAAAACTGCGTTTTAGGTAATTAACTGCGTTTGAATTCGTTGACCTAAGAGAATACGGCCAACTATTTGGCATTGACTATACTTAAAGAGATGTTAGTTATCGTTCCGACTGTCAAAAAAAAGTAACAATTCATTTAAGCAATGGTCGTTTTTTGCACCAAGCAAATTTCTGAGCAAAAAACAGAGGAACGAAATCCCTAAACACATAAATCGTGATCAGTGTAATGGCTTGAGCCCAACACTGATCGTCGCCAGGCTAGCAATTTCGAACTTCTAACTGATTATTTGATTATTTGTCATTAATTTGAAATAATTATTTTAGTTATAGTATTTTGGATTTTGCCAGTAATGGATTTTATGTTTTCTTTTTTGATACTAGTCGATACGATTTTCAAATCAAAAATTTGCATTAATCTTTTCTGTAGCCAATACCGCCTAAAATCTTCCTTCACCGTACGCAGAAAATTTCACTTTGCATAAAAGAAAAAAATGAAAAACTTTTATTTAGCAATTCAATCAAAAACCTTCACCGGCTTTTTAAAGGCAGCCGGAAAAATTAGGACTTCAAATTTGATACAAACAGTTTTTTTGTTCCAACCACTCGAAGAGTGAAAGAGATTTTTGGATTCGGGTCGAGTTTTTTCCACTCAAATTTGACTTCCTGAAGAAAAACTTGTAGAGGGTCAAGTGTGGTATCAACTTTAAACCCTTTTGATCATGATTTGACTTCAAAAATATAATTTTTAAAAAGTTTTCTCAGTTTTGAGAAAAACTTGTCTGGAAACTTTTGCTTTAATTTACGGTCACCCTTCACTTTAAAAATGTGGCAGTAATTTTAGAAAAAAAATGGAAAAATTTTTGACAAAATCTCGAAGTATTTAAATATTTTACAAACACAATTCCTTTACTTTATCTGCTTTTCTTGAATTATTGTGGTCGGAAACTTCTGTCCTTCTTGACCAGCAACCGGTTCTTCTTGTTTCAATTGCAATAGTTTTTTTAAGCAAAGTCAAAATTTTCTTTTTTTTTTACCCATTGGAAAGCAACGTCAAAACTTTTTTTAGAGCATAATCGAAAATGAAAGTCTTACAAAGTTAATAGTTTGATTTGTCGCTGGTGTGAGTATTTTTTTAAAAAATAATTAGGTAAGATACCCGTATCTAAGAAAGGTTATCAATATAATTGATTCCGATGTTGCTCTCAGACAACAAAATGGAATAAAAAATGAATTATATTCAATTGTTTTTTTATCAAATTCAAAATTAATTATAATAAAAGTAAAGTCATCAAAATGAGTTTTTTTCTACTTTGTTTCTGTTTCGCGCCGTGCAAAGGTTTGCAGATTTTCTGTACTTATCTAATGAGTAAAGCGAAAAGGGTAGCAGCCTACTCGATTTCTCAACCTAAGCTTTCTCAAATTAAAAATCAATCCCTCAATCCCAACATTTGTCCCTTTTTCCCGGTACCAACCCCCCCACTAGAACAAACCTCCAACCCCAGATTGTAATTTTGAACCCCTCCCCACCCCCACCCCTCACAAACACTTTCAAATTTTTTGTTATTTTTTTTTTCTAACAATACAAGTCAAAACGCCACTTTGGCACTTTTTAGAAGGTTTTCACTAAAAAACTGTAATTTTTCAGCGCGCGCTACCTCTCAAAATTTTTATATTATTATAATTACATAATTATCCTTAGTATACGCATACCTTCAACCCAGGAGCGAATCTAAGACTTTCTCGAAGGGAGCGGATCTTCAAAAAATTTTCGAAAATTTTGACGACCTTTTTTTAGGTCGACCAAAAAAATTTCCCTAAAGCCGTAAAAAGACGCTATTTTGGCCAAATTTTCTGCGCCGCAGACAAATTTTTGAAAAAGCTGGTAAAAAAAAGCCGCTTTTGGGCACTTTTTGGAAAATTTTGGCAAAAAAATGCATTTTTTTTTTGGCGCGCGCTCCCCCTCAAAGTTAATACAAATTGGCGCCAAAGGCACCTTTAGAAAAGTTTTAGGGTCGGTCGGTTAAAAGTGGATATTTTAAAAAGTACCAAAGGGGGGACCCTGTAAGTCGGCAAGGGGTCGAATCCCTGAGAAAAGAGAGCGTCCCCCCCCCTAAATCCGCCTCTGCTTCAACCCCAACCGCAACCAATAGATTTCAATAGCTTTTTAAATGAAAGCAATATAATCCAATTTAAAATTTTAATGGATTATAATTGATGATTTTTCACTTTTACAGACACTGACAATAAATTTCATATGTAATAGATTTTTATGTTCATGAAGTTCAAGAAATTCAATGGCGGGTACTTTTTAAAACGGACATAAAAGTTCAAATAGCAAGATTGGACTCTTTAGTAAAAGTTACCTTTGCAATAAAAGTGATTTGTAAACGTACGAAAGAAAAGAAGCATTTTAAAATTATTATCATCAATCTGATTTTTTAAAGAAACAATATCGAAATTTTAGAAACCCTCCATTTTGTGTTTTTCTGTGGGTTGTGTTGCCTTGAAGAATGTCAGATTGAATTTGGTCTTGGGCAGTTTTTGATGCTGAACAACATCTCGGCTGTGGTTGGATGTCTCCTGCAGAGCTTCTGTGCTTATTTTTATTCATATGAAATGTTTCTCATCGGTCGTGTACTTACAGGTAAATCAATAAAACGCTCAATTTTTTCACAGAAAAATTTAGGTTATGGCAGATATCAATCCAAGTTTTCAGTTAATGGAAATAAGTATTATCAAAAAATTGATAATATTCATGAAATTACTCTTTAATAGCACCAAAGATATTATTTTGTCTAATTTTTATACAAATTTCTAGATGAAGTTTGCTTTTCACGTTTTCTACAATAGTTTCCAGCAAAAAATATCCTTTATTAATCTTTGGGCGTCGAAAATGTCATATCGTTTTGTTCTACATCGTATCTGCATAATCTTTAAATCGTTATAAATTTTTTTTCACAAAAAAAATCAATTCTTTCAAAAAGACCTGTCCTCAAAAAATCGGGAGAGCTCTGCGGACAGCTTGAACAATAAATGACTTGCCATAATTAAATAATTGAATACCGCTTTCTCTAAGTGTAACGTTACTGACTGTAACACTTAATTTTTTGACCCATAAAATCTGTTTCAGGTATCAACAACGGAGCCAATACAGTTGTGTGTCCAATGTACTTAGCCGAAATTGCGCCCAAATCAATCAGAGGCGGGGTTGGTGCTTTGTTCCAACTGACTCTCATTTCAGGCGTTGTAATTTCATTCGTTTTCGGTTTCGATTCTCTGCTTGGCAACGCGAAATATTGGCCTTGTTTATTTTCGGTGCCGTTAGTTTTCGGAGTGATCCAGTGCTTTGTTTTACCATTCTGTGTTGAGAGTCCACGATTTTTACTCACGAACGAAGGACGGTATGACAATAGATTACAAAGGGTGGACCCTAAAATTCTAATGAGGTTCTGAAATTTTTAATAAAGGTTGTAAAATTCTTATTCGGCTCTGGAAACAAGAAATCTCAGGTTATTTTGGTAATTTAACAATTTCAACAATAATAAAACGAGCAACTCGCAAATTATTAGCAAACCGACAAAACACAAATTTGCAAAGCTAAGCCCTTTGCTGGTTTTAAAGAAGCCATAGCAGTTGCGAGCGCGAGTTTTTTGAGAAGGCTGGTGCTCAAAAAACTTCGAAATTTCTGTTGACTGTTTTTTATTTTCACGAGGTGCCTTATTTTGTGATAAATGTTTTTTTTTGCAATTGGTTTTTTTGTGGATTTTAGAATAACGGCAATGAAAGACGGTCAATTTTTCCATCAAAAATTTCAAATGTTCAGTGGTTTGATTTCAACTGAAAACTTTTATTAAGGGGGACCTGCTTTTGTAATCTATCTCTACAAAGGTTGTCGTGCGAGTTTGCTTTGAGACAAATTAGACCGAATAATTATGATGTTGGAACTGAGGTTGATGAAATTATGGCTGAAAACGATCAGCAAGGAGAAATTAAAAGTCCAAAGTGGTCCGAGTTTATTTTTGACAAGTAAGTATTCAGTGTTTATTTAATCTAATATCAAATATACAGCAAGCAAAAACTTAACTTGGATTTTTCAACTATTGTTTTTTTAGGTAATATTTGAATTTTCCTGGAAACACAAAAACGCAAAGTGTGGTAAAATATCGGGATTGAGAGGGATTCCAAAAAAAGCCCACAAACGGTGTTTTTTACTGATTTTGAAAAATATGCCTGAAGCTGAGAAAGTTTTAGCAAAATGTTTTTCTTACAAGGGCTTACAAGGTGAACAATTTGCATAATTTTAATCATTGAGTTAACCCTTCTTAATTTTTTCAATAGGTACAATGAGGGGTGGGGGTAGCAACATCCTAAATTTTTTATCAACTATCTTTATATATTTATACAGGACTCTTTCTAAACCCCTTCTACTTGCAGTTGTGATCACAGTGTCTCAGCAGTTCTGCGGCATCAACTCCCTCACAGTCTATTCCACTCCCCTCTTCGACGCCGCCCTACCACAAAGCATCACAGGCATCTTTGACTAAATATACCTAATGCAAAATGTTCTAAGAATTATTCAAAGTTTGGTTAATTTTTGAATTATCCAACTTTTGGATTTTTTCTAATTTCTCTTCAAATTACAAAACCCGATAAATTACAAAGCCCCAAGTTAGTTTGAAATTGTCCGAAAACTGTTCACATTTTGGTTGGTTGAGGGAAATTGGTTCACATCACTGGACTTTTTCACAGGGCCCTATCTGCCTTTTTTCGAGTATTTTTGGAAAATTTTCCATAGATTTGATAGAAAAATTGTAATTTTTGGCGCGCTTGTTCATGAACTGAGTGTTTTTGCTTGAAGCGCAGAAAATTTTGGCAATATAGAAGCATTTAGCAAAAAATGGAGCGGCAAAAAACGGATAATAAAAATAATAAAAAAATATTAAAGGCAGGGACACTTTGATTGATCCAAGGGTTCGAAATCCTGAACTAGCTTAACTAGTAAATGGTATTTTAAGAAAAATCGAAAATGTGAAATGAACTAAGACTCATTATTGCTTTTAACGCAGACATTTTCCCCGCCGCATAATTGAGTAAAATTGACTTAAAATTTTGATGTCTTTTTTCAAGAGTATGTATGAATCATTACATGGTGCATCCTTCAAAACAAATCTCCAAGAAACGGCTAAAACATCATTTTTGGCGCTTAATTTTTGTTTTCATGATAATTGAATTTAGCCGTAAGTATGCTCCTAAGGACAAAATTAAAATTTAATATATTTTTTCTACAGTTCTTATCTGCAACTCATGACAAACATTTGCTACTCTCCAAATTTTTTCCTTTTTTTCTAAAAGTGAAACGAATATCCAGCATTCCATTGTTAATACAGGTTTTATCCAATAATCTGGGTAAGACGCATTACTTTAGTCAAATTTTTTGTCATATCAAAAGTATTTTAAACTGATTCATAAAACGTGCACACTTTTTGCAAATCAATGTATTTAAAATTGATCATTCCATGAATTTAACACAGAACGTGGCAAAGAGAAAACTTTTAGAAATATTGATTTCATCAAAAAACTCAAGTAAATCATCCAACGACAATAGAACAATAACCAAAAATAAAAAACTTTTGCCTTGATATACGACAAGTCTTGTTCAAATAAATAATTGCCATTGAAAAAGCCTTTTTTTCAGACTTTCGTCACGGAAGTAACGGAATATTTGTGCTCGTCGTGTTTTTTTTTCTTCAGACAAATTTCGACTTTGTAACTAGCCATTTTTGCTTGAATTGTAAAAAATAATTCAATAGGTATTGTTGTCTTGAGCTTTGCTTGGAAAAGATATTTCACATGTGATCATTTTTTGTAAAGTTATGGGGGTTTAAATTTGACAATTTGGCCATTTTGGGATAACTAACACGCGATACACTTTGCGCTATTGATCAGTGAGCAATAACTTTTTTCCGTCACCAAAATTGTTCCAAATTGAATTAAGGCTCGCTATTTGATCGGATGATTTTCGCACAAAATCTGAAAAAAAATTTTTTATTTTTTTTTGAAAGTTTCATCAATTTTTTCTAATGCGAATATAGACCGTAAAGGGCAGTTGGAACATTCAAGGCTTCGCCCTGGATCGAGTAGTTTTGTTTGAACTTTCAAAACAAAATCATTCTGAAACTGAAAATTAAAAAAACATTTTTGAGCAAAATTAGTCGCGTAAAATCTGAATCAGGAGCCAATATTGATCATTCAACCGAGTATTTGGCTTTACGTTAAATTATTTTACAGAAAAAATTATTTCAGGAACAATTTTGCAAATTTAACTAAAAGATGCTCAATATAGTGTTCAAAAAATAGCTCGGAAGAAGGCAATATATATTTTCCATTCCGACTTTCGAACAAATATTTGTGTTTTTTTTTGTTCAGTCGATTTTCGGTTTTCAACAAAGTTTTTTGACCAATTTTCCCCCATCTGACAGATATTGTAATTCAAATTGAACAAAAAAGTCATTTCAATTGTGATTAGTTTTCTTGAAGTTATGCGGGTTCGAAAATGGCCAATTTGGGATAGTTACGCGCAAAAGTTTGCGTTCTTATAACATGCATAAGCGGCGGGTTAATGCGTTTCAACTTGAATTGATGCAAATCATTTGTCCCTGTTTCTTAATACAAGACGTAGGAATTTCAAATACGTGGGCGGGGATTAATTCAGAAAAAAAAAGAAACTTTATATTTTTGTTAATTTCTTCATTTTCACAAACAAAAACTTTTAAAATTGTTTTTCGAGAAGTTTCGGAACATTTAGGGCTTTGTCCTTATATAGTAGCAGTCTTGTTAAAGTATAGGGTAAAATGTCAAACTTTGTCTGAAAGAAGTTGTTTTTCCGAATTCTACATTGAAGCAAAAACAGATTTTTAGATTTTTTTTTCAAAATCCAATTCGAAATTTTAGCGGATCAACCAGCTACCAAAAACTTTCAATTTTCAGAAGGAAATTTCGTGTTTATGATTTATCTGCAGAGTTGCATCAGATAATCAATCAAGAGTTCAATCGCGTTTCTCATTTTTTTCTAAAGAGGTAAGTTTTTCATCAACTTATCCGCTATAACAAATCCTGAACGGCTACAATTTTCATCAATAGCTATTTTTTTGTCTTCCAAAGTATCGAAGTTGAAAACCAAAACTAAACGTTGTCATTCTAACGGTTTCAACGTTTCACGAAAAAGAACAAAATAATTAGGTTTTCCTTGGGTTTTGCTTGCCAATTTACTCATCAAACGGTTCGTAAATGGCTTTATAACTACTTTTTAATCTTTTTTTTTGGGGTTTTGTAACAACTTTTGAAAGGATACCTAAAAATTTATTGTTATATCTTAAACACAACTTTTCAAATACATTTTTGAGTACTTCAGCTCAATTTTTCAGTCGGCAGTTCTATTTAGTTTCGAGAAAAGCACACCAAATTCTATTTGACAGTTTTTGAAATCTAACCGCATGCAATTATTTTATAGCCAAATAACTGATTGGCAGATTTACTGTTGGTTTATTCAGTAATTGTTTGAGAACAAAACATGGCAAAAATATACGTACCATTATACCACTAGTATCGCAAGGACAATTTTTTAAAATCACAAGAGTCCTTAAAAGCAGTTTCTACATCCAGTTTTTTCTAGGTTTTGAACCCTTTATTATTAGATTGATTTTTGTTGGCTAGTTTTAATGCACTCTCAAACAAATTACAGCAAATGATATAGTTTCATATGTTTTAAGTCGATTTGCACTTTAAGAGCGTAGCTACTAACAACATTTTTCCGAAGCAACAACCGTGAACTTTTTTTGTAACCGGGTATGAAGTGATGATGAATCAGAATCATTTTCAGAACATCAAGAATAATTGTAGCATCAGCGAAAAGGTTTTTTTTGTGATTACTTTTTAACGGCAAATCCTTATAGTTACCAGCAGACTAGTGCTCGCATCTCAAGGCTACACCCCAAATGTTACACAAAAAAATTGGAAGCTAAAGTTTGAGAACAAAACATGGCAAAAATATACGTACCATTATACCACTAGTTTCGCGAGGAAAAATTTTTTAAAATCACAATAGTCCTTAAAAGCAGCTTCTACATCCAGTTTATTCTAGGTTTTAAACCCTTTTCTATTAGATTTTTATTGGCTAGTTTTAATGCACTCTCAAACAAATTACAGCAAATGATATAGTTTTATATGTTTTAAATCGATTTGCACTTTAAGAGCGTAACTACTAACAACATCATTCCGAAGCAACAATCGTGAAATTTTTTTGTAACCGGGTATGAAATGATGATGAATAAGAATCGTTTTCAGAACATCAAGAATACTTGTGGCATCAGCGAAAAGGTGTTTTTTGTGATTACTTTTTAGCGGCAAACCCTTATAGTTACCAGCAAAAGACTGCTCGCATATCAAGGCTACACCCCAAATGTTACACAAAAAATTGGAAGCTAAAGTCTTACCCTTGAGCTCCTGACAGCAATTATTGTAAGATACTATAGTAAATTTTTGTCAAAACTTTTGGTTAAAATATCAAAAATTTTCCGTATTTTTTTAAAGGTCGGGACAATAAGTCGGCATTGACAAAAAAAACTAGTCTTACAATTTCAGACATGTTAAACTGGCCTTTCATCATACGTCGAGAAAGTTGTCTAATAAAACCACGACTAGCATTTTTTTGCAGTGTGAAACTCTGTGACTAGCTATTATTGTATTAAATAGCATTTTTTCATACTTTGATAATGAGCGACGAGCATTTTTTACCCTCATATGAAAATTATTATTTTTTTGAGTTTGGTTTTATCTTTTTTTTGATTAGGCCTAAAACACAAAAACCTAAGATTTTTTTCAAATTGGCAAAATAGTTCGCAAGATAATTTAATTGGCATGACATGTTCCTGAGCAGATTAAAATTTTAATGAAATTGTAAGCACTGGCTAAAAAAAACTTTTTCCAAAATATTGATTTAATGTAAGTCTCCGCCTGTTTTTTTTTGTCTGTTTTAAGTTTTAATTACCGTATAAGAAATTCTGACATCACACAAACCTAACTTCTGATTTTTTTTTTGTGTTAGAAAATGTGTCTGGACTACGTTATAGACAAAAAATTAAATATTTTCATACAAAAAAAATGCTTCTCAAAATTTTTGTTTGTATAGAAATGATTCTGAACATTTTTTTGCCATTTTGAGAAAACAAAATTGATAAAAAGCCAATCATATTATTTTTTTTAGTATGACTCGAATGTATTACAAAAATATTTTGTCACTTTCTTTTTGCTTTGTGAATCTTTAATCAGTTTGAAGAACACTACATAGATTTTATCATCTTTCAACGTTTTTAAAGAACCCTGTTAATGTTGTTCAGCCGATGATCCCGAACTGGCCAACTACATCGTTGTGGGCAGTGGCCTTGTCAGTTTCGCATTCACAGCTCTCTCCGTCTTCTTAGTCGACAGAATAGGACGAAAGAGGTCACATCTGATAGGTAACTAAACTGTCGAGGGTTTACCACCCATCATTTGTAAAAATTGCAAAGAATAGGTGATATTTCAGAGTTATGCTCAGCTCAAACTTTTTGTTTGATTGAAATCCCTCATTCAGTTTTTCTGCAACGAAGACGGCCCACAATTACAAAGGAATTTTGCGGAGAAAAAATTCAATTTCCATGGATTTATGGTGAGAAAAAAATTGGAGAAAAACTATTGTAAACTATTAAAAACTGATTTAAGAATCAAAAGGGCATCTATAATTAATCATTTTGTCACTAAAATTCCATCATACTCGGATATTATTGATCAAACTCCAATGCATGTAACTTTCGGAATCGAAGCTGCGACCTCGAGATATGGAGCCTCACACCCTGCCCTCTCGGTCGCGGACCCTTAATTATCGACATACGCTATTCACAAAAAAGCAGCTAAATATGCTAGAGATTGCCAATGCAATGCAGCAAAATGGCATCAAATACAAATAGAAACAATTTTGCATGTAATAATTTGGAATATAACAAACTGAAGACCTCCACGCTAACTTTGCATGTACTAAATTGGAAAGTATAAGTTCTAATTATAAATAGTTTATGCGTTTCAAAAATATGATACATTGGTGAAAATTGTGTAAACACGGAGAGCGGGTGCTATGGGTGAAAAATAATTGGAAGTGGGGATTGAACACGCATTTTTTAAAATAAAACTAGGTAAACATTTTGAATAGGGCGTTAGTAAAGCAGAAGTTGTTGATAGTTTTGCAAAAAATATATAAAAACTATTATCTAAATTGATCGATTATATTGGTTTTTAAAGGGAGTAAAATCCATTATACTGAATTTTACTAGAATTGGTTTTCACGAATATAATTGAACAGAATAATGACAATATTTAATGGAAACAATTTAGACAACATTTTTCAATTACTATCGAGTTTTATCAATGAAACTTTGGTACTGAATGACTAATTTAACGGTTGCGAGCAATTATGCGCTATGCATTGTACATCATGATTCAAAAAACTTTTATTTTGCAAGTAGACAGGGTTCCCGGGTCGAGAAGCGCACTTAATGTTCCGACAGTCTCAATCAAAAATCGGTACGTTTCGACCGTATTGACCAAAATTCAGTATGACTTAAACGCAACAAGTTTGTTTGACCGAGCGCAACCGAGCTCGTTCGAAAGATATGTTTCGAAAGAGCTCGACCGAAGTCAGGTATTTTTCAACTCTCAAACAACGATGATTATCCTATTTAATCTTCATAAATTATGCTTTTTGGGTACCATCGTATGATGTGTTTTTATCAGAATAAATGATCAGAGTTATTTTTAAATACTTTGTAGAGATGAACTATTTTGAGCTTTTTTTTCTATCTTTTAGATTACTGATGTGCGATTTGAGTGGAAAGTGTTAAAAAAGATAATGATACTTGAAACAAAAATCTGAACCGAGCGCGAGGTATGTTTCGACCGTGCTCGAGGGATTTTTCGACTCTGCTCGAGGTAAGTTTTGACCGTGCTCGAGGGATGTTTCGACCGTGCTCGAGGGATTTTTCGACTCTGCTCGAGGTAAGTTTTGACCGTGCTCGAGGGATGTTTCGACCGTGCTCGAGGTATGTTAAACTGAGCACCTCAACACGAGTCACGACATCTGAAAAACTGCCAATGACTAAATTGTTGTTTTTGGTTAGCGTTGAATACTGTTGATTATGTTTTAGGGCTCTCAGGAATGGCAGTTTGCATGTTTATCTCCGCTTTTCTCCTCAGTGACCTAGAAATTGACGACAGCCAAGCATGTCACGGGATCAAAATCAGCGGATCATTTGCCAACTACAGTCTAATTGGGCTTCTTTTGTTGTACATTGCATTTTTTGGAATCGGCCCTGCGGCCGTGCCCTGGCTCATAACTCCGGAACTGTTTAACGGAAACTCACGTTCTCGAGGAGTGTCTTTAGTGACGACAATCAATTGGCTTTGTAACTTCACAGGTGACTTAGTAGTAGTACAAAACTTTCCAGCTATGAATTGATGAAACAGTTTTTGCCTAAATTTTTGCCTAAAGCTTTTTCTGACTAACCAACCCCAAAATATTTCATGATGCGCCTTTGGCTCTAAATTGTTCTAAAAGTTTTTGGAATTTTCCTTTAAACAAGTGTTTTAAAAAAACAATGAAACATGGGAGAATGTTTTTTCCAAGCGATACGGGGTTTCAGCATGCAATCATGTTTACATACGGTCATTACGTGGTTTCAGCAGGGCTTAAAAATTTTGAAATGACTAGTTTAACAAACATCAATAAAATAAATGTTCATTCACATGTTTCAGTTGTGTTTGGGTTTCTGCCACTGCAGAACTTGATCTGTGGGTGGGTGTTTTTGATCTTCTTCATACTGACAGTGTGCTGTATAGTCTTCTTGTACTTCAAACTGCCGGAAGTGAGAGGGGGTGACGCGATTGCAGTTATTGCAACTAATATTCAACGACTCTGAAAAATGAACAAAGAGAACTAATTGATTGATTTATGAACTGAATTTCATGCAAACTTAACTTCACGGGATAAATTTCAAAGTGTTTGGCATTTTTTGTCAATAGTTTTAATAACAGTTTTTCTCAAAAAATAATTCCGACGAGTTGAAAGGGCAATCAGAACAACTAATGCGTCGTCTTGATTGTTCCGATTTTTTCTTAAGTTAAAAGAACACTGAAATGATCATTTTAAAATTTTACGCGAAAAATTTAGTTTGCATGAAATTCAGACTTTTTAAGTTTTTTTACTTCAATGTTAACTCGTTTCCCTATTTTAATTTAAGCAAAACTGCTAGTATCAAGGCAAACCATAGAAGTTTTACTGCCTTTCAACGTGTCTTAATAAATTTCAGACAAAAAACTGCCTTTAGTGACGACAAACAACTGGCCGGGTACCGTGTGTGTAATTTCACAGGTAACATATTGACAAAATTCGAAATGGAGAAACAAGTTCGAAATCTAATAATTTTCTAGTTATGAAATCATGAGAATGGCTTCTGCCAAAAGTATTTCAAAGGATTCTTGGAGCTAGAAAAAAAAGAAAAATTTTACTGCCGCTCAATGTTTGAGGATCGCACTAGATTTGAGGATTCCCTGATTCCCAAGGTCTAAATTTTTGTAATGTTTGCTTTTACCTTAGGTCTTTTTTGCAATGCCAGTTTCTCACTAACCATCCCAAAAAAACTTCTATATGCGCTTTTGGCTCTAAATTAAACTGAAGTTTTTTTTTGCATTTTCCTAAAAAAAACAGCGTTTTGTCAAAAAAAAGAAACCATGGAGAAAAAATTTGACGAGCATAATACTTTCTCAAAAAACGGGGTTCCAGCAAAAGATCAACAAAAATTAACAATATAAGTGTTATTTCAAAGATTTCAGTTCTGTTCGAGTTTCTGCCTCTGCAGAATTTTATCTTTGGTAGAGTGGTTTTAATCTTATACTGAAAGTGTGCTGTCTTCTTGTGCTTCAAACTGTGTAAAGTGAGAGGAGTGACGCAATTGCATTATTGCAACTAATACTCAGCGACTCTGAAAAATTAACAAATGAAATTTTCAATTGATCTTTGAACTAATTTCTATAAAACTTATTTTCCCGGGCTAAATTTCAAAGTGTTCAGCGTTTTTTTTTCAACAGTTTTAATAATCCTTTTTCTCAAAAACTAATTCCGACAAGTTGAAGGGCAATCAGAATAACTAATGCCTGGCCTTGATTGTTCTGATTTTCACTTAATTCGAAAAAACACTGATATGATCCTTGTAAAAACTAACCCGCAAATTTCAGTGTGCCTGAAATTCAGGGTTTTTAAATTTCTTATTTAAATGTTTACTCATTTTCCTACACTTAGTCTAAGCAAAATTTAAAAAATTCAAGGCGAACCTTTTAATGTTGTGATTGCTTTTCAATGTGTTTTTATAAGCTTATGACAAAAAAACTGGTAATACAATCGCATTTTTATGTTTAATTGAAAACATTTTTTTAAACGCAATACTGACATTAGCGTGCCAAAAGAAAAGACGTCTGCCCCCCCCCGCCCCACTCAACTGCGCTGGCCAAAAATTTCTAAAAATTCCCCCTCTGGTAAAACTTTACGACATCCAATTCAAGCTGACCAATTTCTGGCGCCAGTATAACTAATTTTGAAGAAAGAGCGCGCGCCTAGAAACGCAATTGTTTGATCAATTTTTGCAAGAGATATCGAAATTTCATTTTTTCATTGAAATTGTTTTTTTTCAAGGAAAGTTTAAAAAAAATAGGGTCCTTATAGCATTGAAGAGCTCCTAGTATCAAGGTGGTCAATTTAAATCAAAAAATCTCAATGTATTGATAGACTTTGCACTTATTAAGACACTTTTTGAGACGACTGGATTAAAAAAAAACAGAAATTTAAACTATTAAACAAAATGATCCTGTAGTTTTGAATTGGGTTTTAAGCATGGAATTTCTAATTTTTGTGTGGTATACAAGATTTGACAAAAATTTAAAGTTGGAGCACTTTACACGTTACAGGCTTGCCTGAATCCAGTTTAAAGCGTTAAGAATTGATTATATGATGATTTTAGTACCAGTCTCACCGAACTTTAGAAGAAATCTGTTTAAATCAATCAATAATGAATCATAATCTTTCTGAATGAAAACAAATTATAACCATTTATAATACAATTTAATCAAATGAATTCAATTATTGATGAGTCAATCAATTTCGATTATAATTGACAATTTTTGTTCCAACTTCTAATTTTTTTTTGTCATGCACAAAAATTTCAATTTGATCGATTCAAATTGATTTCGATCTGTTTCCTTTGCCTTTTTTGTATTCAACTTGCTTTTAATTTGCTAATGTTTTTTGCTTTTCATAGACGTGGGTTTATGTGAAAATTAAGAAAATGTTTTAGAAGTTTTCAAATTCATTTATTTTAATATTTTTTAATATTTTCTTCTCAAATTTTTTACTGACGCCTGTTTATAGTTTTTCTTAACAAAAAAATCAGCAAGTTTATTTGGTAAATTAACTTATTTGAAACAGTTTATTTTCAATTACTGCCGGAAACTTTCAACCAAAACAAATGAATCTCAAAGAAACTTTTATTTCCTGGATAACCTTTGTCTTCAGTAGAACCATAATGTGACAAGACTTCTATTTTTTAGAGGTTTGTTATTGAGAAAAAAAACTTATATGATGAAAAGTATATATACTTTTTGTGCATCAAATTTTTGGCAAAATAGGACAGTGTAATTGATTATAATCAACTATAATGAATTATAAGAGATTTTATTCTCTTGGAAATTTTCACGATTGTAATCGACTATAAATCCATTTTACATCTAATTTTGGTTGTTGAATAATTTTCAAAGAAAAACATCATATTTTTCCGTTATGTTCGACTACGTAAGCCTAATTTTGGATGCTGGTGGTCTTCTGATTTTTGAAGTTGAAGTTGATATTTGTTCTTTATTCAAAAATTTGTTACTCTTCATCAAGTATAATTACAGTCAAAAACTTCTATCAAAATTAGCGTTCTGATGAAACATTAAAAGACCACCCGTTTGGCGCGAGTATGTCTCTTGAAACAACTTAAAAGCATCAAAGCATGCGAAATTGGAAATTGGAATCTTTTCAGAAACCTATTGCGGAAGCTGCATGCATATGCTTGAAATGTAGTTTTTGTCAGCGCGTTTGTTGTTTCGTGGAATCTGCAAAAGTCGAGAATATCGAAAAGGGAGTGAAAAAGTCAAAAAACTGAGCTTATTATTTGCAGTTGCCTCATGACGTAGCCATTTGTCTGTGGATTTCACAATAGCAAAAAAATTTAAAAAGCGCTTTTTTGCGGATTCCACCGCAAAAACCTGATTGCCTTGTTACGGTTTCCCTTTACAGGCTCAAAATTGACAGTTTGGAATTGAGTTATATCCTTTTGGTTATACTCATTGAGTACTTTCAGATAAGGTACACCGTCTGCTCGTCACGCTATCTTATTTTCGGCCATATAGATTCGTGCAACTTCTTAGTCTAATACCAATCTTAATCTTACTCTTACATCTCCTAGTCTCAAAAGATCAAGTGTACACCGGTTTACGCGAGTTAGTTCCAGAATGAGAACAACTGTATTCTAAATTGAATTCAAATTGTTCTGGTGTTGAAACTACAAGTAGTTTCAGCACTTACAAATAAGTGGGTTGTTAGTTTGATGGAGTATGATTGGTTAATATTTAATATTTTATAGAGATAAAATATCACAATAATAACCAAAGATGAATACTAGTTTAGATCTGGTTCCACCCATCCGAGGTTTAGAGAGTTTTAGTTTCTCAATGTTCTATTGTAGTGAAGGATGAATGATAGTGTTTTTCTTTTAGAGGTTGCGAGCATATTCTTTTTTCTGGTTTGGAAGAAGAGATGTTATCACGATAGTTTCGGGAGATCGTATTATGATTTCTGATCGGTTGTGATGAGTGTTTGTCTGGTTAATTTCAGAGAATAGCAATGGTCCAATCACATTCGGTAGTGTCATGTAGTTTGGTTTTGGATGCAGTGCCTTGTGACTTGGATCTGTACGTATACTTGAACATCGAGATGACCATTGTTTGGTTGCAATGGGTTTCCTTTACTGCGATGCCAAGTTTTATTTAAAATTCGTTGAGTGTAGTTACTGTAGGCAGCATGTCAGGTGTGTCTTGCCATTCCGTAGTTGGAGTGTGATTGGGTTATCAAATTCCTTGCTGCTCGTCTTTGGGCTGTATGTTATCTATATAATGCCTTGCTAATATAAATCTTTGTTAATCTTGTTTTTAGTCATGATCTTGTATTAGTTTTCATCGCAGAAGCGTTTTTGTTTAGTTCGGTTATTTTTAAGAGCTACTCACACTTGAGTAACTATCGTCAAAAATAGAGTTGTGGTTCACAAAGCGTGGAAGTAGCACGGTGGGTGAGGCCGGCTATAGAGCATGCTCAGGACGTCCTCTCTGGTGGGTTAGGCCAGGAGTGAGGGTATCATTTCATGCTCTCTTTTTTGGAGGGTCCTGTTTTAGTTAAACTTTTCGTGCCTTTTTTATTACTGGTCTTTTCTCTTGTTGCCTTAGTTGTGTCTTTTTCTCAAAAATCAAATTGTTTGTTTTTGGTTTGTCTTTTGAATTTTTGGTGTTTTGTTCTTTTGTGTTCAGACTTAAAAACAGTCCTCAAAAGAATATTTTATCCAGTTTTAAGCTGGTGTTAATCCAGTTTGCGTTCCGAGGTTTTTCTTTTCTTGGTCATGCTGTTAGAATGTGGTTTGTGGTGTTTAGTAAGCTTGCGTTGGTTATGTTGGATTTTTTTATAATTCCATTCCAACCGGGTTAAAGGAAAGTTTGAAACGTGTTAAAACTGGTTAGAGTTGTTATCAGTGAAAGTTAAACCTTAAATTCAATATTTTAAACAATTCTTCGTGGGCGAACTGTGCGATTGTGGATAGAAAAGGTGGGCGAGTGAATATTTAAAATATAAAGAAGCGTCTTTGAATAGGTTAGTACTGCTTTTTCAATTTTATGGG